ATCGGAGGAGGTCAACGACTACACGGGCGGAAGGTATGCAAATCGTTTGCAATCGCGTTCCTCGAATATCTCAAGCCGCGTATTGTTGATCGCGACACACGAAGGACGCACTCTCGTCGTTGGTATATTTTACTTATTATTATTATTATTATTGCCAGATATTTCGAGAGTGCGCGAGCGCGCAATAACGCGCGCGCGTGACTTTGCTCAACAATTTAAATTCCTGCACCGCGAGGAATTTCCGCGTATCGTCTTCCTCCTCGTTCTGTTTGCTCTTTGTACGCTGTTCTTCACGTATTATCGACGAGAGACTTTTAAAATGCGTCGAAAGAACGAAGAGCAAGTTAAAGGAGAGAACTGAGGAAAGCCGAGGACCGCTTCTTTTATTCGTCTTATCGAATTGTTGCCGATTTGCTTTGTGTAGTCTGAAATTTCAGTATTCCGATCCACAAACACAATAACCCTGACACGATACGATGCCGCGTCCCTCTGTGTGTTTCTTTCTCTCTCTTTTTTTTTTCTCTTTCTCTCTCTATCTCTCGTATCGCGGAACTTTTATTTATATCATTTCTCGTGTCCGCAGACGACCTCCTACATACAGCCGACAGGTATATATAAGTATCTATCCGCGGTTGTGCAAGAGCTATTCTCTTCGTTCGACCTTAAATACCAGCCTTGTTCATCCCGCTGAGAAGAAACTAACTGTGCACTCCTCCTCTTCCTCCTCCGCTTTTTTCTTCCTCCGCGTCGTTTCCTCGCTGCATTAGACAACTGCGGAACGCGACGACATTGCGTTGTCGTCGCGTCCTTATGAGAAATGCTTGACAATTTCTTAAACACAACGGTTGCAAGCTCTTAATTTTCTTCTAACACGCGTTGAACGCCCAACAGAAATCGAACGTCGTTCCCGCGAGGTTCGAATCGTTATAGTTTTGTGCAATATATAAATTGTGCAATTTATATTTAAATTGTTACCATTAAATATATAGTAGTAATAAAGAAATTTCTTGCGAATTCTTTCCGCAAAAAATTCGTTTTATTTAACGGATAAAAAACCGTGGCGTTCAACGTGTTAAATATATCATACGAAACAAAAATTCTTACATGTATAAAACCAGATATACTAATGACGCTAATAACGAAGTATGGACTTGTAAAGAAAATTCACATTACGTATCATCTATGAATTAACACACATTGCACATATTTTCATCTTATCTCGTCTGGTTTGCAATAACCTTTTCGTGCAAACAGATCTGTAAAGTTCACTGTTTTAAAGGAAGAGAATGAAAAACGTATTATCTCTTATCTATAATATATATATATATATATATATATACATACACATATTATATACACCAAGGACCAGCTGTGCACGTAATCTTTTTCCGACGTTATTTCAGGGTGTTATGACAATTAGAAAGTGAGTCTAATCTGCGACCTTCTCGTCCTTTTACTATCTCGGTTTTGTAACAGTTCGCTTCGTCAGCAGTTTGCTCACCTTCACTTTCGTTCTCTTTCAATCCTGCTTTATTTTTTCTGTTTTCACTCCTCCGAGAGACTTGTAGATCCTCCTTGACGAACAAATTGGATAAGTCAGTCAAAAAAAAAAAAAAAAAANAAATCCCATTCTAACTTTAAAGTTACACGAACATTCCATCCCATCGAATCGAAATTTTTATATTGTCGTTTATACTTCGTTTTTCTCGTCTCCTTTTATATTTTGATATTTTTCTACTACTGCAGAGAAAACTTTCGTGAAATATCATCGCTTATTCGAAACGAGCGATCCGAACTAACGCAACTCGTCTGCGCTTTGCTTTGCAAAGAGGAAGCAAGGCCGGCTGTCGAGCAACTCACGCGGAAATGGAGCAATCTTCGGCGAGCTTCATTAACATCTTAACGGGATAAACGATTTCGTTTAGGACGATGATTTCCACAATTTCAACGGGCTTCCAGGGCCCGCGTGAAACTTCCTACGTGCGCGAGCGTTTGCAAATTTTAACGCCGCGCAATAAGTCATATATATTTGTTACCGTCGGTGATTTTGTGCGCGTAGCGCATTTTACGTGGTAAATACAATTTACTCCAAATCGTACGAGGGATACGCATACAAAGGAATATATAGATGCGACACAAAAGGAAACACTTTCGCGTGCGTCGATACATATCGCCCACGCCGCGACGAACATAAATTACACCGGCGGACGTATCGACGTAAAGGCAGGCAGTCTGTGCGAACTCGCGGAAGGTGAAAGGTGCTCTTCTTACGCGATTCCGCAATGCAACGATGTCTCTATGCCCTTTCGGGTTGTAATAAAACCGCAGAGGGGGGACGTGTACATCGCAGCGCTTCCTCGTGCCACCCTCTCAAAAGATAGCCGTGTGTTTTTCTTTCGAACTAGACTAGAAAGATACAAACTAAATATCAGAAAACAGTACAGATGTGTTTTTTTTCTCTCAACTGTAAACGCAATATTCGCGTTGATAAATACGTTCTATAAACTTTCCGCGAGGAAATTACTTCGGTCGAATAAACTTCGTGAAGAAACACAGCTTTGAGTGCTCGAAATAAAAACTCGCGGATAAATTACAGCACGTGTGTGTACAATATCTCGAGAGGGGGGGGGAAGAAGGGAAAAAGAGAGTTTTTAAACGACGCACAGGTGCACAATCGAGGATATATATATTTGCGCAATTGTCCGCTTTTAAATCTAATTACAACACAGAGCTCCTAATTAATGAAGCAACATTAGTTGACGTCAATGCGCGGCGCGTGCAACTTAGGCGCGCGTCTTAATTGTATCCGGATAATGGCGCGGAAATTAGCGCGGCGAATATTGCCGCGCGAATGTACAAATGGGATATATAAGGGTAGTAAAATTTCTCATATAATTGGCCGTTCCTTCGTTGCGCGCGCCGCGGTCGTGATAATTTGATTTTCTTTCGGTTTGATCACAGTAATCGACGGTAAAGAACGGTTTCGCGCGCAAAAAAAAAAAAATTACGTACACGAAATTCGGGGAACGAAAGAAGAGAAGGAGCGGAGGAGAGATGAAAATTCTCGCAGCGCGAGATGAATCCCGCTGAGGGGGGAGGGGAGCGGGAGATTGAGCAATCCCTCTGCTCGATGAAGTAACAACGACTACGTCGGAGTGACGCTACTGTAACGGTAATATCATGGTAATGGTAGTAACGGTTGGGTTGCGATAATCGGGGGACTTTAGGCGTCCTCGTCGTCGCGCGCGCGCGAGAGAGAGAAAGAGAAAAGGAAAGAGAAGAAAGGCGACGCATGCGTTCGCATCGAATTGCGAGAATTGTTGCAATTATCCGGATGGTTGGCCGATTGCGAAATTCAATTGATTGAATTGATTACGGAGGAAAAGCATGAATTTAAATAATCAAAAAAAAAAAACATTTATTTTACGGATGTATAAAAAACAATTGCGTTATTGTGCGCTATCTTCCCATTAACTCGTACGTGTGCGTGTGTGTGTGTGTGTGTGCGTGTGTGTTACGTGAACGAATATAAAAAACTCTGAACAAAACTATCATTTCGCGTCGTTAAAAACCTTGATACGTAAGGAGAAAATATTTCTTTATATATTACGTACGTATATCGGTCGCTATGCGCGCCGATTGTGGTCTTGTTTTCTTTCGCAAGGCTGTTTTATATAAATGTTAGATGGAGGTTATAACTGAAACTGAAACGCTTTTTTTTTTCGTCATTCGTTCGCGCGTAAAACCAACATACGCGCAAGGCCGATTGGCCAATATTCACTCCCGGCGCCGCTGGTCTACCGTTTATTTTCGTCGAAGATGCAATTAATATTCGCAAAAAGAGAAAAAGCGAACGAAATCAATTACGCTCGTGCCGCGCCCCGCGATCGCGCGTGAAAGCTACAAAATGAATCTCGAATTCTTGCCGAATGATTAACCGTTAATTAGTCACGACGAGGAGGGTTAGCGCGAGAGCATGAAGTTGCCGATTTTGCGCGCGAGATCGTTTATTATTATTGGACGCACGTCGGCGCGCTAACAACAAAACGCGCTATCCCGCTGCTCTTATCGATCGCGAATCGCGGAAACGTGATGATTTCTCCAATAGTCATTAGTTCACGCAGTTTTACATCGAGCATCGATTTGGGAACAATTACACGCTTCGTTCGCGCGGAGATTCGCGCCGATCGATACGTTAATTAAGTTGTTCGCGCGATAATTTATGGCCTTACGACTTCGACTGGTCTTCGAACGGTAAGAATAACGATCGCCCGTCTACATGGTTGATCCGTCAAGTTAATCCACCTGCTTTTTAAGCGGAAACAATAAAATAGTTGTGCGTTTCTCGCGTTTTTAAAAATTTTTTAACACACATTTTCGCTATAACCATAAACAATCGTGTATATCCAATTTGTCTCCGCTATTTCGACGACGAAACGTTGCGAACAACCAATCGCTATCTCGACGAAAATCGACAAATTGTCCAATTAACGTATAAATCCCGCGGAAACGCTGCTGCGGATAGAATTTTCATACAAATTGATAGGATCTTGCCGCGCGCGTGTCGCAGCGAGGAAGACGATGTCGTGCCGTTGTGGGAGGATCTGCGCGCGCTTTCACAACGTCCACGCGAGGATAGCGAGAGACGCACATCGCTCCTTCTCATCGAGATCAACTCGGGGAGGAAACTTTTGCTCTGTGCATTCGCGCGTCGTCCGGAGATATAATTTATCGACGAAATCGAAAATTCTCTTCGAGGAATCGTCTTCCTCGCTTATGCGAAACGAGCCGACGGTCGTATAACGCCGGCATAGAAGCTCGGCAAAATCTAAATGTCACGGGATTCACACACAGGTATTACGCGCCAAAGAGTTATATCACTTCGGCGGGCGCTTCTTCTTTGGATATTACCTGTAACGCGGTGCATACCTTGTGAGAAAAAAAAAAAAAAGTGAGCACCGCGTATACACGCAGATTTTATGTTCCCGCCCGGTTACACGATGCCGCTATCTTGCGACGAGGTACGACGGAATCTCTCATCTTTCTCGTATAAGCGTTTACGATTCAGCGAAACTTGCGATAAACGAAAGCTGGTTTGTGATTAGTGTGTGTTTGTACATTAGCGTTAGAACGTGTGTGCGCGCGCGCGCCACGAGCTTCGATCACATTTTATTACACATTACACGGTGTTACACGTGACAGTATGCGCTACCGCAATAACAGGAAATAATTGTGACAATGATTAATGATCAACGAGCTAATTGTAAAGGTGTAACAAACATATCAGCGCGATATTTCCGCATGTAACAAACACTTGAGTGTATATATAATAATAATATTAATAATAACAACGCGAGATAAATTTTGTTAAAGAGAAAATTAAATAGAGAATTTTAACACGTACAAAAAGTACCGTAAGTAAAGAAAACGCTTTAAGATGAGGCAGCACCTTACAAGACTGTTCTTAACAACAAGATATTATATAACAAAATAGTTATATATATATAACTATTATTCATATATATATATATATATATATATATATGAATTATATAAATTTGAAACTCATCAACATATAGCGACAGATTTAAAAAAATAGTTTCCGTACTTTCGACGTCAACACACATTGTGTGCAATCATCGGGCAACAATTCCACGACCGTCGCAATATCGGTGAAATTGTGAAGTAACGCGTTTGCATAACAAGCAGATTTATAACAACGGTGGGAAGTAAACACCAAAAAAATCGCGCGCGATCTTTTGCGTGAAGTTTGCAAGAATGGAATACGTCCGCAATCAATGAAAGCAAGAATCGGCACGGGCGGCTGACTGGCCGACTGTCAGACCAAAGAAGCCAGAAAGGAACGCGCCAAGAAGGCGTTTCAAGGAACTTGGTCACAGTCGGCCGAGCGCGGTATGCCCGAAGAATTATTTATGAAATTTCGGTTTCTATATACCGGTAGAATCTTCTCTGATGTGTGTTGTGCGCGCTTGACGACCGCGCTTTCCATTTCTTCCTCCTTTCCCTTTTTAACTCGTGCAAGCGAGACGCTTGTGTTCGCAAGCATTTTTTAATCTCAATTTTCCTAATCGCGCGTTTTAAACTCTTGTTTTCTTTGTAAACTGCTTGTACATGTACACAGTAAAAAAAAGAAAATTTTAATTTTAGTAAATCTTCTGGAACAATTTTTACACGGAGAAAGTCAATTTTAAATTTTAAGTTAAATTAACTCACTCGTCATGTGTATTACTTTATTGACAAACTAATTTTGAATAATTAACACACAATGCTTTACATTTATATTTGTTATTTTGACTTTAAGTGTAATGTAAAAATAACAAAATATTACAATAATAATTAAAGTACATGATAGTTACACAATGACTCTTAAGAAATGTATTTCAAAAGAACATTTACTTTTTGTGTTATATTAACACATTATAAGAATTAATTTAACTTTGATAAATTTGATTATTTTGTGTGTCAAAGTTTGTGTTTAAGATTTACTTGAAAAGTGAAAAGACACTTCACGTGTCTTTAAAAATGTGACTAGAATAAAGTCACGCGATAGGGAGAAGTGGAAAAACAACGCGTGACTAAAGTCACGTGGCTTTACTTTTGTCACGTTTTTAAAGACACTTTATATTGTATATTATATATATTATGTACATACTACCGTAAAGTCACTGACCTCGGCCGCGCGACCGTGTCAGTGACCCTCCCCCACCAAGGTTGCGCGGCCGAGGTCAGTGCCCCGCCAAGGCCGCGCGGCCGGGGTCAGTGACCGGCCAAGGTCGCGCGGCCGGGTCAGTGACCTCCCCCATCACGGTCGCGCGACCGAGGTCAGTGACCTTACGGTAGTATGTACATAATATATATAATATGCAATATAAAGTATAATATTATACTTTATATTGTATACTATATATAATAAATTATATGTATAATATATATTATTTAATGTTATATATAATATAAATTACAATCACGTTACTTTAAATCACGTCACGTGTTGTTTTTCTACTCTTTTCTGTCAAGTGTGACTTTACTTTAGTCACGTTTTTAATTTTCTCCACGTATACGACGAACTGTCAAAATCGCTTTTCTGTCNTTATTTACTCTCTCGATCTTACCAATTCGATTCGACTCGACTCGACTCGATCAACCAACTAATCGGCAACGCGGAAAAGAGACAACAATAGATGCGATACATTTGATATCAAAACGCGCACTTTGCGGTACACATGGATTTTTTATATAGGAGGAGGAATAATCAAAACGGAGTAACACAAAAAAATTTCAACATATGGACGCACGATTTGTTTGTGCAGATGTATGCAATTTTCTGTTTCGTCAGCGCTGAAACAAAACAGCAAACGAGAGATGCAATTTTTTTCAGCGAGATTTCTACTTTTTCTTTACCATTACTGCGTAAAAAAAAAAAAAAAAAAAAAAAAAAAAAAAAAAAAAAAAAAAAAAACTAGGTATATAATCGCTATATCGCGTCAGGTGAGGGTATCAATTGCAAAATCGGTAGTTATGTTCGAATAAAACCGGCGTCGTTGTGTACAATAATGCCAATTCGAACGGAATCGACGCGAGGATGAATATTCTTTCACTTCGAGAAAGCTCTGCAACATTATTAACGACACTGCCAGCGGTGAAACTGATGGTAACCATCGTCACATGACGTCGTCGCGGCCAGACATCATCGAGCGAAAGGTCAACATATGTAAAAAAAATAATCGATGGAATGTGCGTCCGTGGGCCCACCGCGAGTACTCGCGCTGCGTTTTTGTTTTGTGCGCATTATTTCAGTTTATGTGATCGATTAAACGATCTTAGTCTCTCTCTCTCTCTCTCTCTCTCTCTCTCTCTCTCTCTGTCTCTTTCATCTTTTTATTGAAATTATATAAATTATCATGCGAGAGAATTAGAATTTTATTGAGAGACAATTTTGCGCGCCAGAGCACTCGGAATATATTTACACATTTCGCACGCGCGCGACAAGCGCCACTGTCGGTGAAAGGCCCCGTCTTTGCGCATTCGGATTAAAACTCGCTCATGAGTCGTTAGATCTCGATAACCGAGCCTCGCGCGTTTTATTTACAGAACCGATACATCGCGATACATCGGTTGAAGCGGGGCGCGAGCAGGTGCGAGGTTTGTACCGTATATCTTCAAAATGAAGAACAAAAATAAATGAAAGTGAATTCGAAAAGCGTTGTTTTTTCTTTTTCACAAAAATAACAAACTACGTCATAAAACAAATCACTCCCGATAGAGTTTCGAATTACGGCACAAATGTCGTGTTACAAACATATTCGAAATGTACATGCAATGCTCTCGCGTGTGTATGTGTGTGTGTGTGTGTATCTTGATGCGTCGGAACGTCATTTAACAAAGCCCCTTGCGTCATCGTAAATCAAACTCCATAGTCGTACGTTACATAAATCCTGATCGACGAAATTACGGATCGTGCAAATTGAATATCCGCGAAGTTATTAGCGAGCTGTTGTAATAAACGTATAAACGCGACAAATGCAATTTAATCCGACCGTAACAATTAACACCTGCGCGTGTGACGCGCGTGTTAGATAAGCGAGATATGAAAGTCATCCCCCTACGATCCTCCGGTGTCTCATTACCTTTTTTTGTCACACTGTATATCTTCCCAATTGTTGACACAAAAATCGCGCTTTTGTGTCTCGTGAAATGAAACTTTTTTAAAATTACGCTCGCATTTACGTAACGCTACATGTAAATGCGTTTGCGCGAAAATTATGTTACATAGATTAGACGGTAGAGCGCAATGTTTAAAAAAGTCGAACTTCTGGAGCATTCTGGTGCATTAACCTATCGTCGATGCGTGACGATAGTTGTGCATAATTACAGTCGCAACTGGTGCAACGAGGTCCACCGAGGACCCCGGGCCCGATTGCGCAACCGCATAAATTATCTCTCGCGTAAAATTACAGCCGCGTTGCCGAACGAACGAGATGCCGGGTAGGATTTTCTTTACCTCTCGGTATAAAGACAGAAAAAAAAAAAAAAACGTCTGTTATCTCATCGGTGTATGTCGCGCCGATATACAGGTACAAACACGTCTATTACACGTAATACGCGCGACTCGAATGTTTTCGCAGAAAACAGTGCAGAAGGAGAACGTACTTCAAGCGAAAGTCACAAGTTGAAAGAGAGAGAAGAAGTAAAAAAACACGCCGCTAAGAATAGAATTTGCATTGCAAAAGTTTTTACCAATTATCCGAAACGCGTGTGTAATTCTCTTCGAGCGATTATAACATTATTATATATATTACACACAAATGGAGAACCGTTTGAAATTCTTTTCTCCCCTTTTTCGTCGTATAATTGGTAATTATGCAGTTATACGGACTATTTTCCGATCTCAACAATTTTGACATATGTTATCAAGGTCACCTCNCTGAATAATAATATGAAGGTTTTATCCGTCGCTCATTGTTTATAAAAAA